TCCCCCCTAAGTGGAAAACTTTTTTATGGAGAGCAGTGTGTGATATACTCCCAACCACAGCAAATTTGATTATAAAGAGGGTAGATGTGAACCCAACATGCATGTTGTGTGGTCTTACAAATGAGAATGTTATGCACTCATTAGTTTTATGTGATTATTCTAGAGCCGTGTGGAATATTTCGGGATTGCCTATTATGAATATTTCTTCAACATCTTTCCCGAACTGGCTTATGACTGTTATGGATATGCTCACAGGAGAACAGGTCAGACGCGTTGTGGGGGTCCTCTATTTTTTATGGATGGCCAGAAACGAGGCGGTCTGGCAACATGCGGTACGGAGGCCGGAGGTGGTGTGGCGCCGTGCAGCTGCGGGGGAGGCGAGCTACACGGCACTTCATTCTCGTCCAGAAGCGGCACCAACCGGCGAGGTGCAGACAATGGCAGCCGGGCGGACGACGTGCTACGTCGACGCCGGATACGATCCGGGGACGGGAGATGCAACCTATGGGGCGGTCTTACTCGATCCGAATGGTTTGTTCAAAGCAGCGGCAAACGGAAAACTCCCGGGGTGTTTAACTCCTCTTATGGCAGAAGCACTAGCATGCAAGGAAGCCTTGTCCTGGCTTAAAGACCGAAACGAGAACGAGGTCGATATTCTTACAGATTGTCTTGTCTTCAGGAATGCGGTTCATGCAGTAACTACACCGAACTTATCTTATGTTGGAATTGTGATTGAGCAGTGCAGGATAGCTATTAATAGTTTCGTTTTTTGTTCGCTTAGTTTTATTCCAAGAACTCTAAATTTACATGCGCATACTCTTGCTAGATTAGCCCATGATCAGGATCATTCTATGTACTGGGATTTAATCCCTCCTGACTCTATCATTCAATTTTTGAATTAATATACTGGTACGCCATATTTCAAAAAAAAAAAAAAAACTACATCAGTTTGGCAATTCTATACATTAACTGTCTACTTAGTATGTAAATGCATTCACTTAGGCATTAGGAGCAACAAATCTCTTTCAAAGTATTTTGAAAAAAAAATGTCATTAAGAATTCACATCATATTTTGAACCACCAATTAAATAACATAATGCACAATAACTATATTATTTTAATTGTTCAAAATTATAACATTCGGTTGCACCATTCCCAAGCAACAAGCAGTATCAAGCATTGACAAAAAATTGCACCAGGAAACTATAACATTCAAATCATTAACGATATGCATAGATTCAATTATTCATCACTAGATCAGGACAATTATGGCTAGCATCAAGAGTTGGTGGAATTGAAGAGAAGGAACCTGGTTTGCAATTGCACCGTTATGTTGCCACAGCACGCAACTGTCATGAAGTCTAAGCGACCGAAATTTTTCACGATCGGAGAACAATGAATCTCGGCCCAGCCGTCCTCCCACACCGGTGGTGACAATTCCAAAAAAAAACCGAGCAGTGCGAATAAAATGGTCAGGAACAGACAACATAGCCTCCACATGCACCTCCGGCAGGAATTGAAAGCAAAGAGGAGACGAAGCCAACGCGGAGAAAATTGGCGTTCTTTTTTTTTTTTTTTTTTTAAACACAAAAAAAACTTCGGCTATTTTTCCCGTCGCCAGCGGACGGAATACCGGCGCTCAGGTTCGTCTCCGTCGCGCAAGCCTTCGTCCGGGGTCTCAGGTTGATCGCCATCAGCAGGGAGATGATCGGCAGTATTCTTGCGATTTGGCTAGGGCTTCGTCGATGATGGTTGTGGCGGCGATCCGGAAGTCTAATCATGGAACTGATGAAATGGTTGGGGTCTCCTCTCCCCTACGATCACTCGACGGTGGCCAGATTGAGGATCGGCTGCCAGAAAATTTTCAAGATGGTGGTGCGCAGCCTGAGTTTTTTTTGGCGCACTGGATCTCGAACAGAACCTAGGCTCGATTTTGGGTCTACGGGATTTCATCCATTCTTCCGATTAGAAGGTTGCTTCAGTGGTAGTGCGTATGACTCCAGATCAGAAGGTTGCTTCGATGATTAGCGTTGCACAGGCACAAACACAGACGAGAACCTGTTACTTTGGTGACCTAACGGTGGAGGTGAAGGTGACAACAATGATCGACGTGGTGCTCTGCGTCTAACACTCCGGCTCACCAGAATCCTGTTGGTGCCAAAACATGGCAGATCCTATTCATCAGAACCTTCGTCTGCCTTCCGATGGTGATCGCTCAAACATGAGGATGATCGGACGACTCTGTTTCATCAATGGTTCATCAAGTATGTAGAGCAAAAGGGCTGATAACGTGTTAAAAGTAAAATCATAATAGAGAGATAAGGGAAAAAGAGAGAAAGGGAGAATCATCTCTTGTATTCATCTGTGTGTTCATCATATGCTATATGATACATGAAATACATACACTTCCACACTAATACAAAAGGACATAAATAAACATAATGAGCCATAAAATCATCCGTTATGTCCATTACAAATAAATGTCCGACTCTGTTTCATCAATGGTTCATCAAGTATGTAGAGCAAAAGGGCTGATAACGTGTTAAAAGTAAAATCATAATAGAGAGATAAGGGAAAAAGAGAGAAAGGGAGAATCATCTCTTGTATTCATCTGTGTGTTCATCATATGCTATATGATACATGAAATACATACACTTCCACACTAATACAAAAGGACATAAATAAACATAATGAGCCATAAAATCATCCGTTATGTCCATTACAAATAAATGTCCATTGAATATATTTATAACATTAATAAATATTATGCAATCCTGGGAAAATCTTGACAATAAAGTAAACTCAACAAAAATCAGATCACAACATCAACAACTTAACTTTGGAGATGCGAGGGATCAAACCCCGTGCCTCGAGCGCTCTACCATTTGAGCTACATCCCCAATGTGGAAAAAAAACATTTCGAAAGCTACTCATATCAGAGCCAAGTTTCAATACTGGGACTTGTGGGTTATGAGCCCACCACGCTTCCGCTACGCCACTCTGATTTGTTGATTTTTGTTTGGATATTAGTATATTTATGAGTAACAAAGCAAGGCTCCAAAAGTACATAATTCCATCTTCAAAGTCACAATCTTATTGCATAAACACAATGACGGTACTTTAATGCATCTCAGTTGTCATACATAAATCTGGTTCTTGTGGAGTAATTAGGAACATAGGGTCAAAACTATAGGAAAAAGAGTTTTAACAATTTTTTTTTTTCAAATTTACTTCCATCTATCTTTAACTTTTTTAAAGTTTTTTTTTTTTTTTTTTTTTTTTTTTTTTTTTTTTTTTTTATAACAATTATGTTTTATTTATTAGGTAAAATTATTGACTTCTAAAAAAATAATAAATAAAAATTTTATTGAGTTAAATCATTCTTTCTCATTTGTTTTTTCAAAGCTTGGTAATCCCTATAACTTAAATTATCCGTAGGGAAGGAACTTGATTTGGGTGGGTTTATAAGCATAAGAATCTTTATGCTTTTCAACAAAAATGTTTCAAACATTAGCTTAGGAATGTTTTTTTTGGAAGCTAACAAGAAACAAGAAGTTTAATCTAGAGAGCTCTAATTAACCATAAAATATAGGAAAAATAACATTTTTAGTCCATGAATTGCTTCACTTTTAGAAATTTGGTCTACGTTAATTGATTTAAACAAATTTAGTCCCTTAGCTTAATTATCTATTATGTTGCACTTTCAGTCCCTAATATTATATAATTATTAAACTCCATTTATAAACAGTTTTATGTGCTTATTTTGTCATTTAAAATCAACATCAATGGTTAAAGTTTTATTCTCTCCTTGTGAATGTCGTTTTTAACGTAAAAATTGATTCTAAATGTAAAAAAATAAACATATATTTAATGAAGTTTGACAATTATATAACAATAAGAACTAAGAGTGCTACATTATGGACAAGTAAAGAGCTAAATTTGTGTACTTGTTAGTATGAGAAGTATACATGTGGGTATTTGTTAGTAGAATACGTTTATTGAAAAATGACTATTAAACAATGAACAACATGTGGATTAGGTTGAACTCAATGTATATATATGTACATATATATATATATATATATATATATATATATATATATATATATATATATATATATATATATATATACACACACACACACACACACACACACACACACACACACACACACACACACACACACACATATATATATATATATATATATATATATATATATTCATATATATATATATATATATATATATATATATATATATATATATATATATATATATATATATATATATATATATATATATATATATATATATATATATATATATATATATATATATATATAAGTAAAATCCTCCTAGCCCAGTTTCCCCCAAAACTTAGGGACATTTCTGTAATATCATTCATTTAATAATAATAATAATAATAATAATAATACTGTTATTACCTTAATTACATATTATTATACTTTCCTTTTGAATTAGTATTTTCCACCTATATTCTCAAATGTACTAACATTCAATTAGGTCCTACGAATCGTGAATGAGGAAACGCTCTCTAGCCAACGGTCGGAGGAGGATCGCGATCTGCTTGAGCGAAGCACGAAGAAGGCCAAAACCACCTTCGGTGAGGCGGTAGACACCTCGATGGATCTGATGACGGGCTTCTCTGCGGAAGTCGATGCTGTTTTGGAGACACCAATTGAGGACATGGGGGCGCCAGTGGCGCCATTGACCATGCAGGTATCAGGTGAGAGGGAAACGTCGAACCCACTAACAATTCCCGTTGTATCTCAGGTTTCGGAGGTCGCAAGGCGGACCTACGCCCACTGTTGCAAAAATCGCGCCTAGGTGCCGATTAATCAGCGCCTAGGCGCTAGGTGCCCAGCCTCCTAGGCGGTCTAGGCGCCCGCCTAGGCGTTCTAGGCGCCCGCCTAGGCGCCCTAGGCGGTCCCCAGGCGCCCTAGGCGGTCCCCAGGCGCCTAGAGATTTTTTCAACAATGCGGCTACGCCCAAACCGTGACAGGCCAGTCGAAGGAATCGCCGGGGGACGTAGATGCGCAGGAAGACTGGACCAGGAGGAAATGTCGGACGAGGAGGATGATGATCCGCTATGCCCAACAATACGTCTGTCGAAGGCGGAGATTCGACAGATCAGGGCGCCATGGAGGTTGGCGATTATCGTCAAAGGTATGGGTAGATCGATCGGGTACACGTACTTACTGCGCCGGCTGACGTCCATGTGGAAACCGAAGGGAAAGATGGAGCTAATCGCGATTGACAACGGGTACTTCATAGTGCGGTTTGGAGTGGTAAAAGACCTGGAACATGCCATTTTTGAGGGTCCATGGATGGTCATGGACCATTATTTGATCGTCAAACCATGGATGCCAGACTTTGATCCGTTCTCAGACGTCACAGAAAAGGTCCTAGTATGGTTAAGAATTCCTTGTCTACCTGCTGAGTACTATAGTCTAATCTTTCTCAGGAAATTGGGGAACAGGGTGGGAAGAACGATCCGAGTTGATCAAGCCACAAGCATGATGTCACGAGGGATGTTCGCCCGAATATGCGTTGAAGTTGATATATCAAAGCCATTGATTTCGAAGTTCAAGTATAAGGGACGTGTGAGATCGCTGGCTTATGAGGGCATCCATTTGGTGTGTTTCAAATGTGGTATTTATGGACATACACCTGATGATTGCCCCAAAGCAGTCAGACCTGCGAATGCATGCGATGATGCTCCGAACAGAGAGACGGAATGCAAAGGCTCAGGGGAATCACGTGGAGTTATAATCGGAGCAGAACCGTTTGGCGCATGGATGATTGCGCCAAGGCGAAAAAGCAGAAATGGGGGTCGAAAACATGAGAAATCCAACTAGGGAGTTGAAGAAGGGAGACAGGCGGCGATGCATGGCCAGACCCAATTTGCTCAAGCTACCAGATTTGCGGCCTTGGCAGAAGGGGAGGAAGAACGGGACGCTGAGGGGGGACCTGTTGGGGCGGAGCAGGAGATGGTGGAGAAGCTGGAACGCAACTTAGATCCGCGGCAGAGGGCTTGCGCAGAGAGGACTGAGGGGAATGTTATGAGGAGACCGAATGTGGTTGTGGTAGAGAAACAGATCCAGAATGCACCACCTGTAGTGCGTAGACCGCGAGAAAATGCGGAAGCTTCGACCACTCGTTCTCAGCGTGTAAATGGAGGGGGTTCTCGGAGGGCGGCGGAGGCGGACGAACATGTTGTTGTTAGAGGCGAGCAAGGTGGCTTAATTGTCCACTCTGCAAGAGTGTGGGTCGGGGATGAGCAAAGGAACACCATACAGACCCGCCAATATGCTACGACAATGAAGGCGATGCGGTGATGGAGATAGACGGGGACCAAATGCCACAAGAGGGTGATGAGGCCAGTATCGGCCTTTGAGGTTTGGATTGTTTTGTCTTCGCCTTTTGATTCTGTAATCCCATTTGGATTTCTGTTTGTTTTTTCTTATCCTTTTATTTTATGTTTATGGATCTGTTGACATGGAATTGCCAAGGGGCGAGTGGACGGGTGGTCCACCGTGCCCTAAAATTTTTATTGCAGACTTATAAGCCGAGCATCCTGGGTCTTTTTGAACCGAAAGTCTCCGGGGTTCAGGCCAATAATATCTGTTCGAAGCTCGGATTTTCAAACTGGATTCGCGTGGAAGCTGTGGGCTTCAGCGGGGGTATCTGGGTCTTCTGGAAGGAACCAATACATATCGATATTTTGTTTACTCATCCACAGTTCATTTTGTTACAGGTGACCCAGAGCGGGCATCCACCATGGGTGTTTGCGCCGGTATACGCGAGTCCGGCCCATCATCTGAGGTGCCGGCTTTGGAGAGATTTGTCCTAGTCAAAACGGGGCCCGCAGGGCCCTTGGATGGTGGCTAGGGACTTTAATTCCGTTATCACGAGAGATGAAACAAGCAATTATGTCTCCTTTTCTGCCCAAAGAAGCTCGGACTTTGTAAATTGGATCAATGAAGAGGGTTTTGTTGACATGGGCTACTCGGGACCAAAATTAACCTGGGTCAAACATGAATCCACAGATGGGGCAAAGGGGGCCAGACTAGATCGGGCGATGTGTAATCTTGAATGGCGCGGCCGGTACCCAGAAGCTGTGGTGGAACACTTACCTCGTGTTGCCTCGGACCATGCGCCTCTATTAATTCGACTCTATGGGAGGTAGTGTTCTAATAGATTAAATTTCTTTCATTTTCAGGCTGCTTGGATTACCCACCAGGACTTGCAACAGGTAGTCGGAAGAATCTGGAGCCCCGAAGAAAACTTGGCAGATAATATACGGCGGGTAACGGACGGTCTCAGTAGTTGGAACAGGGATGTGTTTGGAAATGTGTACACGCGCAAAAGAAGCTTGCTATCCAGAATTGGTGGTATCCAAAAGATCCTGGCACGTCGATCACATAGTGGCTTGCGTAGACTCGAGAGGAACCTGCAAACACAACTAGAAGAAACCCTTTACCAGGAAGAGCTTATGTGGTACCAGCGGTCCAGAGAAGAATGGATAAAGTCGGGGGACAGAAACACAAAATTTTATCATGCTGCGGCCACAGTGTGAAAATCGCGTATCAAGATTTCGGGGCTGAAGGATGACAGCGGGATGTGGATGCCGGAGGGTAATGAGTTGCGGGATCATGTCAGGACCTTCTTTTTATATCTTTTCACCGAGCCCACCGACGGAGTAGACGTTTCAAGCATTGGCGACACCTTCCCACGCATTGGCCAGACGACTTGAAGGGTGTTTAACAGTGAAGTTTCAAAGGAGGAAGTTTACACAGCAGTTTTCGACATGAAACCATTCAAGGCTCCGGGCCCGGAAGGCCTACCAGCAGGCTTTTATCAACATACGTGGGAAGTTACTGGGGACAGTATCTTCAAGCTAGTCAGGAACGCCCTTAGTACTGGCAGGCTCCCGGAAGGAGTGAACGACACCCTAGTTGCGCTAATACCAAAAGTGCAGGTCCCTGAGATGGTCAAGCAGTTCAGGCCTATCAGTCTTTGTAACGTGAGCTACAAGATTCAAACAAAGACAATTACAAATAGGTTGAAGAGGATTCTACCCCAAGTCGTAGGGTCATACCAAAGCTGCTTTGTACCAGGGCGCCAAATCTCGGACAATGTGATTGTGTACCAGGAAGTAATTCATACCATGCGTGAGGCCCAGGGGAAAAAGGTCTATATGGCTATTAAATTGGACCTAGAGAAGGCCTATGACCGCCTGTCTTGGGCGTTTATTAAGGACACTCTGAAATGGGTAGGTTTTAATGATATTTGGATTAATGTTATAATGACTTGCATTTCTTCGTCCAGGTTGGCAATAATTTGGAACGGAGACCGATTGGAACAGTTCACACCAAAGAGGGGTATTCGTCAAGGCGACGCAATGTCCCCGGCTATCTTTGTTTTGTGTATGGAACGGCTCAGCCACCTAATTGCATCAAAGGTGAACAATAAGGTTTGGAAAGGTATCAAATTGGCCCCATCGGGGCCCATTTTATCTCACCTCTGTTTTGCAGATGACATGGTCCTTTTTACCGAGGCGACATACGAGCAAGTGGAAGTGGTCCAGGATTGTTTAAAGTCTTTTTGTGAAGCTTCGGGGCAGAAAGTTAGTCTTACTAAATCACAAGTATTTTTTTCGAAAAATACTCCTCTCGGAGTTGCACAAGAAATAGCCGCAAAGTTGGGTATCGCAGAAATGAAAGATCTGGGGAGATATCTTGGTGTGCCTTCTGTGCATGGCCGGGTAACATGCAATACTTATGTAGGCCTTTTAGATCGGATTTCTGCCAGACTGGAAGGACGGAAAACAAAGACTCTCTCGCTAGGCGGGCGTGTGACTTTGGCAAAATCGGTACTGAACGCCATCCCGATTTACACTATGCAAACGGCAGCCCTCCCTAAGGGTGTCTGCTTGGAGATTGAGAAAAGGACCAGGCGTTTCATATGGGGCCGCGATGAACAATCCGGGAGCAACAAGATGAGTCTGGTGGTCTGGGACACAATCACTACGGATAAAACATGTGGAGGCTTGGGCTTGAGGAAACTGCAGACCATGAATGAGGCTTGTATGATGAAGCTTTGCTGGAGGCTAAAAACGGAACCTAATGCGCTCTGGGCAAAAACGCTTATTATGAAATATCACCATAGCTCTGGCTCACACCTGGACACCACACGTAGAAGAAATACTTCCAACGCCTGGAAAGGGATAAGCGCGGCTAGAGAAACCTTAGAGAGTGGGCTCACGCGTGTTGTTCGCAATGGGAAATCGACTCGTTTCTGGATGGACCCCTGGCTTACACCAAAACCTCTATATGAAAAGTTATGTGGCACCCTGAGCCTCCCAGATCTTTACGCGAACGTGGAAGATTACTGGGACAAGGTAAGAGGCTGGAAATGGGAGAAGTTACAGAGATCTCTTCCCACTGAAGAAATGGAGCGCCTCGCCGATTTCTGCCTAGCGGATTAGAACATTCCAGACGGGTGGGACTGGAGTCCAGATCCTCGGGGGTATTTCTCGATTAAATCAGCGTATGGGTGGGCGGATACTTCTGTAAAACAGGAAGTTGACAAAGTTTGGGGTCTTATTTGGGCGTTAAGAGTTCCGGCAAGAATCTCGATGTTTATCTGGCTGGTTATGCATGGGAGAATCTTAACAAATTATGAACGCACTAGGAGACACATCACTTCTAATGAATGTTGTTATATTTGTGCAGGACAGCGAGAAGACTTGGATCACCTATTTAGACGCTGTGACGCCACGAACCGTATTTGGAAACAGTCTCTACAGCGACGAACGGAGGAGGCCATGCGCAACCTCGACTGGGAAAGCTGGCTTACGATGAACCTGCAGGAGGATTGTAAGCAAGGTTTTGGGGACGGATGGCCAGAGCGGTTTGGAGTCAGACTTTGGTGGCTGTGGAAATGGCGAAACGAGGCGGTTTTTAATGGCACCTTTTTGCCATTCGACCAGATAGTGGACTGGCTACGGAGATGCGATGGTGAGAGAGCTGCGGCTTTTAAAGGGAGATGATGGCCGATGCCGAGGCATATTCGGGGAGACGAAGCCGCTTTGACGTGGGATAAACCAGACGAGGGATGGTTAAAATTAAATACGGATGGCAGTTGCAAGAGTGACGGCCAGGCAAGCTGCGGAGGTGTCCTTCGGGATAATCATGGTAACTGGCGTAGAGGCTTCATCTACAAAATTGGTAGATGTTCGAGTGCAGTGGCGGAAGCGTGGGGCATCCTACAAGGCTTGCGCATGGCTAAGGATTACGGTGCGCGACGAATAATCCTTGAATGCGATTCAAAGTTGTTAGTGGAGGGGCTAAGGGCGGGTGATGACGGGCAGATTCAACACAATAATATTGTTCGTCGGTGTGTTAAAGAAACGAAGAGGTTCACAGAAGTGAAAATTATGCATATTTACAGAGAACAGAATCAACTCGCTGACAAGCTGGCGAAGTGGGCGGCGATGCATCAGTTTGGCTATCACTTACTCGATTTTCCGCCGAGGGAGATTGAGGACTTGGTTGCCCTTGACAGGATGGGAGCTTCGTCGATCAGACGAATATCACAACAACGATCTGTTACTGTTATATAGTTTCTTAGATGGGTATCCCCTCTTCACTGATCAAAAAAAAAGTATTTTCCACCTATAAATACAAATTATACTTTCATTTGCAGTCTATATTATTATATTTTCCTTTTGAATTAGTATTTTCCACCTATTAAAGACAAAGGCGAGCCACCAGCTCCCTTTGTAAATGATGTGGGATCATTTTGATCTTACATTGAAAATGTTTGGAAAGATGAGCTATTCAAAATGTTTACA